CCCAGAGTCAATTTTTATCCAGAGTCTGATTTAAAAAAATTGCTGATTACTAATATTTAAATTTATAACTGATACTGCAATTCATTTCACTTTTTCCATGGCATTTCTTCAGGGGCCATAGCAAACATAGATCAGGTCAAGCATGTTTTGCCCAAAGATCATTGGTTGCTTGGCCAGTGATTCGTGTCAAGTTCCCTTTTGGAAGCCAAATCCCATCCTGCTGATCCTGCGGGCTCGTTGCAGCATGACTGGCAGGTCGGAAAAACTACTTTGACGAATGCAATGCGAAACAGGTGATCCCAAACCCTCTCCTGTTGCTGGGCTTGCACGGCCTGGGTTGTGGAGGAAGTGCGTGCTTACAATTCTCCCAATTCTTCGTATGGGGAGTGGGGAGGCGTAGTTTGCAACTTGACATGCCCAGATCTGGAGAAATGAACTATTTTACCAGACATATAGATCAAAAGGCTTGGATTATGGCTTATCATCTCAAAGCAGGTATTTGCCGGCAATCGTGCGTGAGGCCCCGTTGGCGACCCATAGACTCCAAACAATTCGAGAAGCAGTTGAAACATGGTTGCCAACCCCAAAAGCGGCTATGAGACAGCCATGCTTTCGCATTCCCAGAAAAACGAGGTTCTGATCTATTTTTAGTGTATACAACTCGATATGTCTTCAGCTGTTATGGGTATCGTTATTAAAGCAATTTGACCACTCTAAACTGTGGGAGGTGGCTGGTCCAGAATAAAATATGGGGCAGGATTTTTCAGCCAGAGGCGTGTTTCACACAGAAGCCATGCAGAGCCATCTGACTTGCTTGCAATGGAAGGTGTTTATTCTATGTCATGCCATGGCATCACTACGGCATCACTCACCAACAAGTCATGGGAATCTGGATCTCCTCCACCAAGGTTCATGACCGGCCACACTCACGAGCTCAAAGCAGACGGCCAGATCTTCACGGACGCTGAGCTCTTAGCGGCACCTTGCAGCGAAAAACAGATGGTGAAGCAGAGACGTCTTTTTAACACATATGCCGACCAAGCACGTTGAAGCAGGTGTTTGGAGCATGTCGATTCTTCGGAGCATGGGGTCGTTTGGGTGTTTTGACATTTTAACTGACGTATTCGGGATGCATTCGGATGCTGAACGAAGTCCTTTGGGGGCCCAAGCTGAACCGAACGAAGGTTCCGGACGTCTCCACGACGGTGAGGGTCTCCAGAGGTCCGGACGACGTCTCCCAGCGCATGGACCGCTCGGAACGGAGTGCTCCGCCCAGGCCCTGACCCTCCTCCGGGAAGACTTCGCGGTCCACGCGCCTAGGATGCGAAGAAGAAGCTAAGAGAGGGCTGGCAAAACGAGGTGTGGATAGGTGTGGTTGGGTTGCTTGGTTGGTTGGTTTGGTTTGGTTTAGTTGGGGAGAATGAGAGGTGAGCCGCAACTTCACGGGGCGTCGACGTGAGGCGACCTCCTGAAGCCCTGAGAGGTGTTGGAGGTCAAAGCGGGTTTTGGATCACAGGGCGAATGCCAGGTCAGTGGAATTGGAGACTTAAGATTCGATTGGAGAATAGATCCTGAAAAATGCCATCAGTTGCTTGGCATTTCATGGACGAATCATATCCAATCATCCACAATTATCCTGTATTTTGGGGTGGGTTTATGAATCACTCTGGGGGAGGTAAGAATCCATTTTTTGATTATATAGGGGTCGCGGGTAAGTTGGTCCAGGGACTAGATCGACAGCACATCCAATGCAGGTCTGGAATGGTGTATATGTACATGATGAAAAGAAATGAAAAGTAAAGGAGAGCGGAGAGAGCGAAAGAAAGTAAGAATAAGAACATAGAAGACACATGAAACACATTCTGTTGAAAATGGTTCTCATTGTGCCTTTCTTTATTTTGTATGGGATAGCCATGGCCCATTGTCAGATCTCGGGACGTGATGTCTCTCAGGAGCTGGACCTGGCAGAGAATGGGCTAATCACGGACAAGTCACTGGGCGTCGATACCGGGAAACGGTTCCGGGATTTCCAAAACAGCCCGGCGTGTGAATTGATGACCATGCAAAGAATCTGAACGATACTTGTAGCTTAAGGCTTAGTTTTTCCCACTTGTCAAACACACACAATCACACACACAGAGCTTACAACATATCTTTTTCCTTTGCCTCTACAAGGGGATGGAAACAAAAACTGCAGCCCCGTCGTTATTTTTGGACCCCCCCCGAAAACAACCAGCCAACAAGTACTTTTACCAATTGTGGCTGTGCTAGTGCTAGTCCGAGTAGTACTAGTACTTGTAGTGGCCGTCGTCGGAGTAGTAATAGTAGCAGTCGTACTAGTAGTAGTAGTAGTAGTAGTAGTAGTAGTAGTAGCAGTAGCAGTAGCAGTAGCAGTAGCAGCAGTAGCAGCAGTAGCAGTAGTAGTAGTAGTAGTGACCGGTCAGCTAAGCCTCTGCAAAAAGCTTCTCCTTAGAACCTCTACCACTTCCTAGAAACAAAAGCTGCAGCCCCGTTGTTGTTTTTTGGACCCCCCCTCCAGAACAACACCTCAAAAACACTAAAAATGGATCAGCCCAAACTTCAGCATTTGCTCAAACCTTCAACCGTATCCCTAACCTTGCCCCCTTGAAGTTCCAAAGTTACAACATGTGACAATGTTGGGCGGCTGCTTTTTGTTTCGACCAACAACATCCAACAACAACAACACCAACAACACCAACACACACGTAATATCACGATATATAACGTACTGTAATTAAAGTCATCGATGTTCATTGTATTTTGTTCGGACATTTGATGTAAAACTGCTAAGTTTGTATTGTTGGGTGGATGCAGTTGGCTGGGGGGGTGGTCCCAACATAAATGATTCACGTATTATATACAGAGAAA